TTGCCTTGTCTAATAGGGTCTGTCCCAGAGCCTCCGTTCCTAACGGTCACCAACAGGAAGATAAGTGAATAGGTACGTTGTGTAACAGTCATATAGTGGTGTTAATACCCGGAGCTAAGATTAAAGTATAATTCCATATTGATGCATGAATTTGGACAAATTGAAATACAATGCTTTATCTATAACATGTAACTATGGAAACAAAAATCCTGGGCATTGCCAACGTCGACGCTACGTTAATTGAAAAATCTAAGAGAATTATTTTCTTTTGTTAAAACCTTAGTTAATTGTGTTAATAATTCTACTGAATAACACCCCTTGTGAGAATTGTTTTTACTACATGTAACGTTTACAAAACGTTTGCAAATCGTCTGGAGAACCTTTACGTTCCATGTAAACGATTAGAAAGTAACAAGTGTTTTTTCTAATAAATAACTATAAGCAGAAGCTTATCATTAGGAGCGTGCAACAAGCCCATATTCTTGTCACGGCGTTTTCACAGACCGATCTATTTTTAGTTTGAATTTACCGCGAATTCAAACCCTCGCAGGAGCCTCAGTGACCAATCACAAGCACGGACTTAATTTTTAGCTGACGTCATCATTTCACCAAAAGATTGAAAAGAAAAACCGCCATTTCTTTCCTTACTAATGCGCGCTCATGTAGACCGGAACTGACATATTTCGCGGGAAAAGAAGCCTAAAAATAGACCGGTCTGTAAAAATGCCGTCACATAGGCTTAGTATGAGAGTTGCACACTCCTAGTGATGGGCTCCTGCTATAAGTGATCTAAAATAATATCAACTCTATCACTAGTATTTAGCTATGCATATAGAAAAACAGGTTTGCTTGAGCAAGCATCATAAAAGTCGTCACAGATAAACGACTGAGTACTAACTAGGCTCAGTCTCCAACCGAGGTTGTTTCGGTGCGCCTGCGATCCTCTCCATCTCGTAGTAGAGGAGATCGCGGGCGCACCGAAACACCCACGGCTGGAGACTGAGCCTAGGTTCTATCAAGTCCTTAAAAGCGAAATTTTGACGTTAGAAGACAAAGAAAGTTACAGTTACTGTAGCAAAAAATGCTCTTAAGTTTGTAAAATATTTAGAAAAGATTTTCATAAGGAAAAGGCCCAATGAATTTTTCTAGTTTCTATCCCCCACACGCTACAAGTGTTCTTCAAAAACGAAAAACAATTCGTAAATGAACGCCATCTCGACGAGTGTGTATTATAGAGAACATAAAAATAATCAAGTTAGTTAGAAAATACCTAGCTTCGTACCCAGATCTCACTCTGTTTGACGTTCCCTCACTTGGCCGTGGGAGATCTGGGATCGAAATTATATACTTCTTAGTTTAAGTTGTGTTTAGTAGTATTGTTACAAAAATACATCTAGTTAATTTATTCTCTCTATTCTCTTTTATATTTACATCTAAGAATCGCTAATTAGTTACGGCACTTTAACCTTCCATACCTGCTTGTGGCAGAGTAAGGTGAGCCAGCAAACTACCAATTTCACTAGCTACGGTAAAATATCCATTTATAGATTTCTCTTGACTGAAGAAAAGGTTATTAAGGTTATCAAGGTAAAAAAATCCCTATCCTTATAACAAACCCTATGCTTAGTAGAATAAAGGTTAATTTGTCAATTCCTGCAGTTTAAAACATGCATTTTAGCAATACCCATCCCCTCGCTAAGCGATGAATTGGATGCTTCTAGTAATTTCTTTTTACTCACAAAGAGGTCAACGTCAGTTATATATAATAACAATTTCCGAGGTCGTTCAGATTCCTTCTCCCTGATGAAAGATTCCACAGTTGTGGCCGATAGTTTGAAATGCCATCTCTCTCCATTTAAAAAGTTGATGTACAAAACTCTTAAAGACCCTATTCATAAATGGCTGCTGTTAAAAAATTTTTTGTAAGTATTGAAATTAGCCCAACTAACCTCGTTTTGGAGCTAATAAATCAAAAGAATTTTTACTCTCAAATGAGGTTAGTTGGGCTAATTCAAATGCATACAAAAGAATCTTTAATTGGCAACCATTTATGAATAGGGTTTACACCGCGTTACAAAACTGTCGAAGGGCGCAACTGAGAGTAACATGATCTATTCTCAAGGCGTGTTCTCAGCTGAAGCCTTGGTTTGGACCAAGTGAATACGACTGAAAGAAAAACACAACAACTTTAAGTTAATCTTCGGTGCACATGTTTTGTTAAAGAAGGGGAAAGTTGGGGGGGGAGGGGAGTCGGGAAGGTAGCATTATTTAAGAAACAGAAAACATGTAGAAATACTTTGGGAACACGAGCCGACAGGCGAGTGTTTCCACAGCTTTTTCCACAAATTTTTTCCCAAGCACTGCAATTCGGTGTTGCAATAAAACAAAAGTACAACAAAGTAGAAACAAAAATCGAGCAACTACAAAAATAAAATTAGACCCGAAGCCTGGACTGTCAGGTGTAATGTAACGCAAACACCAAACTCACTTTAGCTGTCCCTGACGTGACTTCCTCGAAACACTTGTCACACACTCGTACAGGTTTCTTGCTCGAAGTAAGCGGCGCACTTTTAGATGTACAATCACCGCAGTAAATTAAACTGTGTAGGAGATTAAACAAGAAAGGAACTTACTACGGGTTTAACTAACTATTTTAGACTTCAACACAGCCATTTCGGATCTTCTGACATAACATGAGTGTCTCTTTTGTAAGACCTAGTACATACTAGCGACATAACGACATAATCTTATGTTGGTAATGTGAACATCGACATATAGTCATAAGGAAAAGATCAGTGTTTTCCCTTATGTCGTTATGTTCATGCTGTTATGTTGCTATTAAATCATTGTCAGAATGTTCACACTGCAAACATAACGACGTAACGTTCAACTTATGTCGTTATGTCGCTGGTGTGAACTAGGCTTAAGAAAGTAATTCCTTTGCTAGCTGTCACGTGGCAAAAGCCCATCTATGTGATGTCACAAGATTGAACATGGCGGAAAGCGACAAAGAGCCTGTAATCCTAAAGTTTTCGTTTGTTTTTTGTTTTTGCTTTTCTAAAAATGATTATTACCATTTGCATCTGCTTTCAACAACTTTTTCACTTCAGAGTTCAGACATTACACAGGTTAAGAGAGACTTTTACAAAAACATGGCAGCGATAAAACTTGTATCTAAGGGATTTTTTTCCTATTTTTGTGNACAGAGTGAAACCTCCGTTTTCAAATTTCTCCGGCGTAATGTGGACGGAGAAACATTTGATGCGTTCACAGAGTGAAACCTGCGTTTTCAAATTGATACGGCGCAGTGTGGACGGGAACTGATACTCCTGGGTGCAAACCATTACTATTTACAGACAAATGGTAGGATATAAGCAACACAGTTTGACTTTAAACTTACCTTTCTAATTTTCATTGAGAATGCTCTATCACAACCATTGCAAGCTGCGACGTCAGTATCGCTTTCCCATCTCCGGGCGTTCTTTTGCGTATTTAAAATCTGAAAGGGAAGTAATGAAAACGTGCGTACTCAGAAGTATGAGCTTTATTCTGCTGTCCTGGGTTCGACAGAAGGTTTCTGCTTTGGTTAGAGTTAGCGAAGCTTTATAATAGGTGCAAAACAAAAAAAACCTTGCAAGTACTGTAACCAAACAAACTAAATTTTTCAGCCAATCAAAGGCCAAATCAACATCAATCCTGATAAGCATACGTGCAATTTCCCGCGCAAAACACCGGTTGCATGTTTTCTCGCGCTTGACACGGCTTCCATGTTTTCCCGCACATAACACAGACTGCATGTTTTCCCGCGTTTGGCACTGGTTAAATGTTTTCCCGCGCATGGCACTAGTTGCATGTTTTCCCGCGCTTGACACAGATTACATGTTTTCCCGCGCTTGACACGGATTTCATCTTTTCCCGCGCAAGAAACTGGTCACGTTTCCCCGCGCTTGGCACGGGTTGCTTGCAACCGGAAGAGCACCTCAACCATGCCATCTAGAAATACTGTCAAGTTAGCAGCGCCACTTCTTTTTTAGCCATACCTGTAATGACTGATTCTCTTGCGTCAGTTCCATCATTGCAGCTTGTGCATTGTCGACCTTTCTTTTCAGTTCAGCGTTTTCTTTTTTCTGTTTTTCTAATGCCTCGTCCGCAGCTACGCATCTAAAGAACGTCGAAAAGTACACTGACCGTTTTAGAGTTTATAACGCTGTCATGTTGTAAAATGGCGCAAAGCGTGAAAAAGGTGAAATTTAATGGGCGTAGATGTGGGAGAAACGTGGAATTTCATTGAAGTCTTCCATACATTTCTCTGCAATTTTTCCGCCCTCGTGTGCTCTTGATTTCTTATGCAATCGTTACAAGTTGCGTGACGATTTCGTAAACAATAGTAACGCTTATAATTTCAGTTAACACAGCGTCGTTTGAAACACATACCTTTCAAGTAATTTTCTCCTTTCGTCCAGGTTATTTTGAACAGTTGCTTCCAAAACTAAGTAAATAAACAAAAAGAATCTCACTCTTAGAAAATGGTTTCAATCTATCGGCATCTTCAGTAATAAACTACAAGTTCACCATATGCCACTCACCAGCTATGTCGCCTTTCAAATCGTCATTTCGCTTCTCAGCAACTGCAAGCTTGGTCTCAGTCTCCTTCGTCTGCTGTTGGCATTTCTCGGCCTCAGTCCTCGCCGCCGTGAGATTTTCATTCAGCGACGAAATTTGAATATTGAGCCTCGCCTCAGTTTGTTCTTTGCTCTTTTTAAGCTCTTCAAGCTCCTGTGTTTCGTTTGCCTGAAAATTTAGCGTTCTTCGAATGAGAAGGTCGTTTGGAAGCGCATTTGAGTCCGTAAGCTTTTTCGGTTAAAACTTTCCTTTCACAAACAGAGAAGCTATCAAACAATCTTTATCGTTATCATTCGACAATCAAATCGGCAAGCACTGTCAAATTTTAGTTCCCTTTCCCCGACGTGGGGAATAGAAGATGTTCACCATATATTCTCTACGCAACTATCGGATTTGATCGTAAAGAGACATATTTTGATTTACAAAACAGCCTACATTTGGCTGTTCTCAGATTTGCTATAGCTTAGTATTAAGAACATGTTTAAAAACATGTTGAAAAATAAACAATTGTGTAGATAGTTTTTCTTGATTGCACAATAGATAACAGAGGGAAATGGTTAGGAAACCTGGCAAAGTTCTTTGTTGTATGTTTTTGTTGGNTTTTAGCTGTCACGGCATCTTTAAGGGTTGCTGTCGTAGAAATAATAAAAAATGCCATGCCATGTCATGTACGTTAAGTGGTATCTTTTAGGGGTCAAATGAAGATCATGCAACGCCCAGGTAGGTCTCCTTTACGGGTTCAATTCAAGTAGTAGTACATCGTCAAATTCTCCCTACTAGTGTTATAAGAAATGTCTAGAAACTAGTTGGAAGAATCTTTATGTTGACAACAGAGTTTATAGAATTCATCACCAAATTCTCCCAATGAGTACTGTAAAAAATTTATACAGACCAGTAATGAGTATGTTTACTTTGATATTAAAGCTACTCTATATCCTCACCTTTTTGAGATCTTTCTCAGTGTTATGCAGTTTGTTTTCCAGTTCCAACTTTTGTTTGATGAGAAGCTGTTGTTTCTCTTGGGCCTCTTGCAGCGCCTTCAATTACGATAAAAACATTTATAACACGAGGAATATATAACACACCTTCCTATTGGACAGCTAAGTATTTTGCATAGGGGTTTCTAAAGCACTTCAGTATAAATCTACTAGCGTTCTATCACAATTGCCGTTCTCTGATTGGCTGCGCTACTCGCTAGCTATTCTGTGATAGATAGTGAGTAGCGTAGCAGTGTGCCCTTGTTAACAAAATGACGGCCGCTTCTTGGCGTTTTCGAAGTGTCTGTCAAGAGGATTTAAATAAAGTTTTGAACGACTAGTAGATTCATACTAAAACAATTGGATTAATCGCTCTCGATTTCTGACAGTGATAGTTGAAATCTCGAGCTCATAATTATGCTCATAATTATGTTCGAGTTCATAATTATGCTCATAATTATCCATGGATGCACGCGGCGGGACACTGGCGGAGGCAAGGCTGAAGGGAGATGGTAGGGTGAACGGAGGGAGGGACGAAAGAAAGTGAATGACAGAATGTCAATCAACGAGCCAATTCATCTGTAATTCGGTAGATCAGTTTACGCCCCGTCTAAACTGCGCCGGAGAAATTTAAAAACGGCGTTTTCATTCTGAAAGCGCATCAAATGTATTCCGTCCACACTACGCCGCTCATTTTGGGTTTGTGTTTGAGACAAACTCGGTCCAGGAAATCACCAGATTATCGTGACTACATCGTTCTTGAAAAGCTCCGTTTACACTAAAACAAGAAAGCCGGCGTTTTCAAATTCCTCCGGTTTGAAAAGCTCCATTTTCGTGACGGATTAGTGTGGACGGTAGCCCTAAACGGAGAAATAAAGCTGGATTTTCAAATCCCTAAGGCGTAGTGTGGGCGGGACCATAGAGGGAGGTGAAGCTAATCCAACCGGTTAGGTGGAGGATTAAATTGTGCGAGGTATTTTTCGTGGCTTTTTACACTAAATAACATTAATTATTTACATTAACGCAAACGTCATCAATAAACGACAGTATATATTTCTAAAGTTTTACTGTGAGATTATTCGGAAGTAAAGAATTTTTTTCACCTTCTCTTTGGCCTCTTGTTCCGCTGCGAGGTTTTTCTCCACTTCTGCTATTCTTGTCTGTAATGAAATTCTAAGAAATACGAAAAAGAATAATTCTATTTAGTGACTGAAGCGTCTTTCATTGTCACGCAACGCTTAGTAGACAAGGTATACAAATAAGTTTGTTCAATGTTCAGTTCTAGAAGATTCATTGAAGGAGCTCAGTCACGGTATTTTGAGTTATTTTGGCCACGTACAAAATTACCTTTAAATTGAAGGAAACCTGAAAATAATAGCTTACTAAGATAGGAAAATGCCAAAGAGACAATAATAAACCATAAAGGAACAAGGATGGTTAAGGATGGAGAAGATTGACACGGATTGCAAACGACGAACTTGACAAATTTAGGCTGAACTTTTCAAGACGCGCAAACAGTGACGTAACTCCTTTAAGCAATGACAGATCACATGGAAACTGCATTAGAGAGAAAGGAGGGGGGGTAACTATTTGAGAAAGGGGGCTTAATATCCAGCGCCTCTATACAAACCCAATCTGTGGCCCAAGGATTTCTTCAGAACTACATTCGTAAAGGCTATCAAGCACACGGGATGGATATCCTCAACAAATGTAACGGAAGTTGCAGTCTAGTTACCTTAGACCATTGAAAGCATCTCTTTGACTTTCTAATTCTTGCTCAACTGAATCCTGCCCAAAAGATTTGTTCCAAGTCTCGTAAGTGTTATTAATACAATACTACTTCTGATTCAATTTTAGCTCGTAACTTTTCCACAATGAAAACTTCAAAACGTCAAAATTAAATGCCAAAGCAATGAGTCCCATATTACGGCATAATATATTTTACGAAAGCGAACGGAATCTTTCCACTGTAGTTTAGGAATTCACTATTTAACAATTAGATTATGAGCTTGAGATTTCTATGAGGTAATAATTGAAGGCCGAATCAACTATTACCTCACAGAAATCGAGAGCGAACAATCTAATTGTTTTACTAGAATTGTTACTTAAATGTTCTTCAGCTAATCATTTCCAATTGTTTTTTACATTGTATTTAACTTTACACTTGAGAAAAATCGCGCGGACTAAATTGTCGTTTGGAATTTTCTTCTACGTATGCGCGCTTCTCCGTTTTCTCAACATTTTCTACTTTTTTTTAAGTCATGAAAAAGTGAATGTCCTTCTTTTAGTCTTCTCAGGAATTTAATTATACATTTGTATCTAAATGTTTTTCACTAACTTCGCACTAATGGCTGATAGCATAAGAGTAGCTCAGCCAATCAGATCGCAGCATTTGCAATAGTATATTAATAGAATTCTACTATTTTCATCATAGAATATACCTTTTCTTCTTTAATTTTCTGTGTTTGTTCCCGCGCAGTCTTCAGATCGCCATCAAGATTCAAAACTTGCGTCTCTAAAGAATTCTTTGCCTGGCAAGAATAAAATTCATTGAAATAGCAACCTAATTTTTTTCACGCTCTTTTGATGTCTCGAGCAAGGGTGGTTAAAATAGCTGTTATTGCAGTTATCAGCGGCTTGACACACAAACGAGGCGACAAGGTCAATTCTGCATTGTATCGACCCTTTCGCCTCGTTTGCATGCATTTTAAAACAAAAGAATATTTGACCGCAGACTCAACTGCAATAACAGCTATTGAAGAAGATTAATCAAGACGGATTGACAAGTGACGGACTTAACAACACCAACTCACCTCATTAAGCTGCTCTACGGTCTGTCTCAAAATCCCTTCAGTTTCCTCAGCCTGTCTCTTAATTTGCCCCAGTTCCTCCTCTCCAGCTGCGACCTGGCCCTGAAGGTCCTGGAAACAAGACACAGACACTTACCAAAAACTCTCCGTGTTCAAACAATTAACTCATTTCCATTAACAAGGTAAGTTCGATTTCCGCCGCTCTCTCGAGTCCGGTCAGCGTTCCTACCCGAGAAGAGAACGCGGGCTCCTTTCTCGAACAGAGGCTTACTAACAACGTCGCTGGAAATGTGGTAAGTGTAAAGAATTTCCCTCGAATTATGAAATACAACACTTTTTAAACTTGAACTTTAAAAAAAGCCAAATGCTCTCTGAAAAGGTTTTAAAGTAAATTTACATTGGAGAAGATTTCTTTTTTGGCAAAGTTTTTATGGAAACGGGAGCAAAATTTTCAAAACTAAGTTATTCAAAAGGCAATCCAATCCCTGCCACAGTGGATAAACTTCACTTACAAATCGATTACTGTAAATTGTCGCTTCCGGACATTGACTTTATTTTCAATATTATTTTTAGGTCTGGAATACAGTTTCATTGAGATTACAGGCTGTTTGCGGTCTTACAAACCTCCGACCGACCGAGTGGAGAAACAGGGTGGCTCCTCGGCACCGTGCGCTTATTTCCGGTTTCCGTGAAATGAAGTGTCTAAGACTACTGTTACTGCCCTCCTGGACGGAAAGCTTAGTCCAGTGCAGCTTACTTCAGCAGGCCAGGTTACCCCGACGGTCGGCCGTTCACCCAATCATAGGGCGATTTTTGCTGACGTCACTGTTTACATTTTGCCTCACTAGCATAAAACTTTGCGCAGAGAAGCCATCACGCTAGATATGAACTGACTAAAAAAACAGTAAAAGAGCTTGTGAAACGTAGTGCATGGTGAAATGTTTAGCTCTTTGGGTTTAATATTCAAGGAGATACTGTCTTTCAAAAACTGCAAAATTCCTGGTTGGTAAAAGCTCTAATGAGCCCATACATTCTTTGTAAAATTTGACTTTTTAAACCCAAGTCGCACAAAAAGTATTCAACTTCCTTGGGACAGTTAATCGTGCACTGCCCTTTCAATATTCAGAACTTATATTTTTGTACCTTGGTCAGAAACTGTATCGCTTATGCTAGTGAGGCAAATATCGCAAACAAAGATTCTTCTGGGTGGAGAAAGGCATTTTGAAAAAATAAAAACAGTGCCCCACCTAGGGCTGGACCCCAGACCTCTCGCTGAGCCCTCCGTTCAACACATTTAGTACTGAAGTGATCACTTGCCTTGATGTCGCTTCGAGCATCTTCTTGTTCCTTCTCAAGTCGGCTTATTTTCTCTTGCTGTTCCTGTAAAACAGAGTGAAGACACCTTAGCTGCGAACACTAATGAAACTGTTTTGCAACATAACTACACTAAACTATTCCAACTGTTGAACAAACGCCATTTTGGCGCAAATCAAGCCGAATCCAATTTTTCTAAACCAATCAAAAGCTAGCATGAGCAGTCACGAAAGCATGATATAATATGGGGAAGTTGTGTTGCTTAGTAACGGGATTTTAAACGTACAAGTTACTTCAAGCCTGACAGAATTAATACGCGTTTAATGTTGTGTCACGCAACACAACATATAGGCACTTCTACCGAACGCAACGGAGTAAAATGTTTGGATCCTAGTATTAAATTTGGATACAACTGTTGAGCAGACTGCACATTTTTGAGGTACAGTAAAATCCGCGTGTAAGAACCTACATTTTTTTAAGTCTGGCAATATTTTGGGCTAGTTATTGGAAATTTGGGTTTTACGTTCTTAGTTTCTATGAAGGAGATTAGGGTTGTTGATTAACAGAAAAATAAATAAACTTGGGTTTGGTACTTAAATATACAGTATTTATTCACAACTGCATTATGCATTTTCTTGTAAATAAATTTCCCATCTCAAAGTCACACTCCTTAGTTAAAATGTTTATCATAATTTAACTGCAACCCACATATAAGAACCTTCTTGATCTTGCTTGGCTAAACAGATTCTTATATTTTTGGGTTTTAAATTGGCAAATTTCAGCCAGCAGGGTCTTAAACCACTAGCTTCTTACACGCGGAGTTTTTCTGTATTTTTGCATATTTTGCATTTTTGCATATTTGCATGTTTTTGTCGTTTAGGAGTCACTGCACCTTCGAAGTAATTTGCATTTTACAAAGTTGTGCTTCGTAATTCTTGCAACTTGCGCATTCCTTCTTAACCTCTTCCTCCAGAACCTGTAATGTGGAAAAAACAGAGTATACTACAAGTAAAAACAATGAAAAAATAGTTGGGTATTACAGTAAAAACGTAGATTTTCTCCCCGCCATCGTTATAGCTAAGCACACTTCTTAACGCCAGTAAACAACTTGCACAACAACACACAACAGTTTTCAAAATTCCCTGACTTCTTCCTCTATTTTCCCTAAAATAATATCCAATTTTCTCTGATTCTTCTTCAAAATGTCAATTTTCCCTGACTCAAAAATAAAATTCCAATTACACACCTCTATTTTTCTTTGCATTCCATTGATTCGTTCATCCTTTTGCTCCAGAGATCTTTGCAGCTCACCGGCAATTTTTTCTTGTTCAGCAAGCTTTTCAACACAACAAGAACAAACAAAAAATGTTATATACAGTTGTAAAGCCAAGTCATCAGAAGGGTGAACTACTGCCTTGATTAAATACCAAATTCTCAAAACGAATTAAGGAGAAACCACAATTCAAAATTACGGCTTCAGCGGTTGAATATTTAAACGAAGATAGAACTGGCTTCCAGCTTATTTGAGGTTTACACGACCAAGTAGAGACTAAGCAATTTTCCTCTTCGCGAACAGACGATGTCATTTTAGTGACACAACGAAATTTGTTTTTTCTAAAAAAACCACCAGAATGGAACCGGAGAACTTTGGAAATACTAACCACCCTCATTCTTTATAACTGTCACCTCTACAATAGCTGAACCTACTGCTATCCTTAACCTAAACGTGGATCTAATTTTAGATTGGCAAATTTAGACCTAATTTAACCTGATATAAGACCATATTTTCGAACTAGTCTAGGTCAGCTAAACTGTAGCAAAAATGGCATCAGTCATTACGAAAAGCTTGTTACAACATGGATCAACCAAAGTTGTCGAAGACTGTACCGGGGAACTGCATTTAAACGTGATGTAACAAGCGTGTTAAACTGATTAATCATTCAGTTTGGATCTTCTGGATCTCGAGAAATTTATCAATGAAACCTCAGAGAAGGTGTAAAAATAATTCTTACTTGTTCTTGTAATTTCATTTCCTTGCTACTGTACTCAGTTTCTAGTACTGCGATCTGATTTTGGTGAGCCTGTATAAAAAATAATAATAATAATACGTCACGTCTTCTTCAGAGTTGTTTTATGGCTGGGTGGGAGGGAATGGAGAGTGTCAAGGANACGGTCGTGATGCAACACCAACTTCTCCGAGCTAACATTGGCAGAAATGATTGATAATCTGTTGGGAGAATTCATATTTTGAGCCAAGGACTGGAAGAGTTTATAGAGATCAGTGTTTTTTACCTTTCCATTAAGCTGTTGCTGTTCTTGGACATATTTGTCACACAAATCCTGAAAAAAAGAACCATAGCATTTAAGGCAGCTTATTCGAGATCGAATTGTTGTAGGCGTCATAAATTGATGCTGTGGGTATCGCAGACGCCCCCAACATTTCTGTCGGCAACTCCACAACCCCCAGCTCAGACTGCCGGAACCCATTGGATAGAAAGGGGCATAAGAGTACGCAAACACTGCCATGTTTGCCACTGGCATCACTTTTCATAATTCCCCGACTTTTCCCAGATAAAAATAGCACTTCCCTGACCTCCCAAAAAACAAAAAGTCAGATCTGGTAGCGGCTTAAAGCGTGAACTTACAGCTGTCCTTTCTATTCGCTCATTAAGACATATAAGTTTTCAACAAATTTTCTTTCTTCATTAAGGAAAAATATCGTTGAGATCACAGTAACCCCAAATGTTTCTTCCAGCCTTCAATGGTATCAAATCAGCCTTGTTAAATTATTTTAATTTTCCCTGACTTTTCCTTGACCTTGAAGAATTATTTTTTCCCTGAACATTCCTGTCTTGTTGCAACCCTGACTGCATCGTTCAGACATTTATTGCCGGTACAGTTTCGCTCTGAATAATTCTAACTATTCTATAAGGTGGATAGGAGCTTGTGTACTTGTTATAGTGGTTAGCACTGCACTCAGACTCTATCACAAAGCGTCCTGCGATAAGAAACATCCCATAGTCAAGGACATTTTACAAGACGGCATGAGAAGTACAAGAGTAAATACCTCATTTAGGCCTTATTTAACCGCTAAGTCCCTTATACAATGGAAATAATTTTCTGAATACCTCTTTTTCTTTTAATTTTTCTTTGACATTCTTCAGTGTCCCCATCAACTCTGAAACTTGGCTCTTGCCCGAACTGTCCACTTCGGCCAATTTAGACTCCAAAGCTTGCTGCAATGCAAGGGAAAAGAATTGGAAATTTAGTGCATATTAATTACTAAGTCCTCTCCTTACTTGCACCGTGAACAAAAAGAAACCGTGCAGTACGAATTTCATGAAAAAAAGATCTTCACCAAGAATTACATCGACTGTTTCACAGCATTGTGGTGGACACCAGAAGGTGAAGGGACCAAGAATGAAAGGTTCTCTTTCCAAAATTAATTATCTTGTACACTTAAGTACTTATAGGCTGCTCAAAACCATTTAGCACTACAATTTAGGGAGTAGTTAAATTAATTTAAAAATAAAAGTAACTACATAAAGAATTAGGAGTCAAGGAAATCATTTCTTTCTTCCCATATTCAATTTTTTTTTTCAATATAGTATTGCACGTTAATATTTAGTCATGTCAGTTAGTATCAGTATAATTGTATATAATGTGTGGTACTGTTAATTAGTGAGTCATGTTAGTATAGACCTCCTATATTACTAACTGAGTTGGAGGGTCGTACTGTAAGTTCCGGACCGAGATTTTCCCCATCGATTTATGGCCCAAGCGCGAAGCGCGCGGGCTATAAATCAAAGGGGAAAAACGAGGATCCGTAACTTACAGTACGGACCAAGAAAACAAGGTTAGTAAGGTATTTATTATATCTCTATTGTGTGTCTGACAGGTTCGGGAACGATTTCTATTCACGCGGAAAGGCTTCAAATTTCGGACGCACCTCGAAAGCAAAACGAGACAATTTGAAATCATTTTTACGTCGTTAGCACGCTTTAANAACCGTGCAGTACGAATTTCATGAAAAAAAGATCTTCACCAAGAATTACATCGACTGTTTCACAGCATTGTGGTGGACACCAGAAGGTGAAGGGACCAAGAATGAAAGGTTCTCTTTCCAGAATTAATTATCTTGTACACTTAATTATTTATAGGCTGCTCAAAACCATTTAGCACTACAATTTAGGGAGTAGTTAAAATAATTTAAACATAAAAGTAACTACATAAAGAATTAGGAGTCAAGGAAATCATTTCTTTCTTCCTATACTCATTTTTTTTTTTTTTCAATATAGTATTGCACGTGAATGTTTAGTCATGTCAGTTAGTATTAGTATAATTGTATATAATGTGTGGAATTGTTAATTAGTGAGTCATGTTAGTATATACCTCTTACTAACCGAGTTGGAGGGCCGTACTATAAGTTCCGGACCGAGATTTTTCCCATCGATTTATGGCCCAAGCGCGAAGCGCGCGGGCTATAAATCGATCCGTAACTTACAGTACGGACCAAGAAAATGGGGTTAGTAAGATATTTATCATATCTCTACTGTGTGTCTGACAGGTTCGGGAACGATTTCTATTCACGCGGAACGGCTTCAAATTTCTGACGCACCTCGAAAGCAAAACGAGACAATTTGAAATCATTTTTACGTCGTTAGCACGCTTTAATACACAATTTAGAGTATAAAAGAAACAAATCACGAAACAGATTGGCAACAAAACCAACTTTAAATTTTAACGGGCCGTACAGGAAAATATGGCCCGCTAAATTGACCAATCACAGCGCGCGTACTAACTGAGAGATATAATAATGTAAGTTAAGTTAGAACTATAAGTACATCTAGTATTGTAAGTCGTTACAGTATGGTAAATAATATGTGGTATTGTCAAGTAGTCAAGTAGTGGACAACGTTAATACTGTAAGTAGAGTTATTATTTTTTTTTTTTTTAAGGAAAGGCGAGAAGGAGACCGAACACCACTTGAAGAAAGACTGTAGAGAAAGAAGAAGCAAGGCAGACTGGAAGAGCTGCAATGTAGCTGAGGCGGCGGCGCTGGACAGAGAGTGTTGGTTGGAGAATTTGACAGCCTTATGCGCGACTAGCGAAGCGACAGGAGACAAAGTTGACGATGACGAAGAATAACAGTGACATTCTCCCAAAGAGAAATTGCATGACAATAAACACAGCAACGATTGTCGTCCTAACCTTTTCCTGCAAGTGTTGTTTAGTTGCGTTTTCCATCTGATCAGTCTTCTCTTTCAGTGACTAACAAAGATAATCAAAATAGCAATCAGATGACCAACAAGACGCATATACAATAGAATCCCTGACAACATACAACTTCAAAGAGCGCGCGGCATGGGGCGAGGTGGGCGCGCAGGGTGAGATGGGTAGTCATCCCCATCTCACCCTGCGCTCCAACCTAGCCCCATGCCGCGCGCTCTATGAGGTTGTACGAGATCGACTGGGGACGAGTCAGGTAGAATCCGTTTTCTCGAACCCTCGCTTTTATTTTTCTAGCCGCCCGATAACTCGAACCAAAAGTCATTTCCCTCTTTCAGTCGAACACTGTAATTTTACCCCCAATTTCTCGACCTATCCAATTTTTCAAATCAATTTTCGTTTCCCTTGGTAGTTCGAAATTATTACCTGTGAAATAGAAGCCAGTTGTTCCTTCAACGATATAATTTCTTTCCTTGCTTCCTGGTTGTCTGATCCCAAGTTGGTTACAAGTTTCTCCTGATCAGAGAACAATAAAAGACTTAAATTAATAAAACAAAGAAGATACACGATCTAATTGTAAGACCGAACCCAAAGCATGGTTACGAAGCTACTAATCTACAGCAAAATTTCGGTTATAAGCGCTAGGTTTATACAACTTTATAAGGGATTAAGATAGATAAAATTTTCCCCTTAAAGATGAATCAAAATGCTGCAAGAAGATCAAACACAAGATCATATTCATACCTTTTCCTCCAGTAACGTCTTAGTAGAGGTCAAATTTAAGGAAAGCTGCTCTTTTTCAGTTTCCAGGGATTTTATGTTTTCTGTAGATTTTTCCTTGACCTACAAATTATTTCAACACAACAGTTTATTCAAAGTGACAAGTTCTCAGTTCCTTCTGCAAGGGGAAAAGAGCCACAGGTTCGCAGAAAAGATGTTTGTCTCTCTGTCTTGTTAAGTCTTGAATTTACCATTTACCAGCCTTACATAAAGTAACATACAATGACATCATATNTGTTTTGCAACACTTTGCCTTAAGTATTCTTGTGGAATAATACTTTATGATTGGCCTATGTGATAACATTGGTTTTGGTTTTATGACACTCAAGAGGCCATATTCACATTGTTGGTAATGGACTGGAACTACACTCCCAGACAAAAAGTTGGGACACGAAGCAAGTTCTCCCCTCCCACCACTGACAATGTTGATAATCGGGAGATTTTTTCCCTTTTTGTTGAAAAAACGCGACGTTTTCCAACATTGATTAGGGGGGATGGGTAATACATGATCCAGCTCAAATGTCCCAACTACATGTACTTTTGTTCAGGATTGTAGCTTGCAATGGAGGATAATGAGGGGAATCTTATCTCTTTTTAATGATATTCCCCGCATGAGCCTCCATTACAAGCTAGTTCCAGTCCAATACGAAGAATATCAATATGGTCTATTGAAAACCACTCTAAACTTTACAACGATAGAACATTCATGCTATCATATGCTGTAATACTGCCCACTGGTTTTAACAATAAACTAGAGTAATGTTCAGTTACCTCTGGACTTGTTCAATTTTTGATGCCTTTTCCACTTCAAGCTCCTTCACTTTCATTTGTAAGCTGGATAGAGATGATCAAACCATGTGGTTTTAGACACAATTGAGAAAAAAAAAGATAAATGTATTTCCTAATAAGCAACTAAAGATTACTGACTTCAGCTGTGACGCACTTTCACTTTCATCCCAACATAACAAGTAGTTTTTGCATACATAGATAGATTCACATGTGCAACCTTTCTTTAACATGATTACAAGTCAAAGCTTTTAGCTTGTGGGGTCCCTTAATCAAGTAGTATTATGTAGAGTGGAAAATCTGGGCACAGGACTATCAAGAAGGTATTAAAAGCATGTTCCCAAGTGATTCCATGTTTGCTGTATTTTAAAGTCCTTATTACCGGTATACAGCATTGCTGTTTTTTCCAGTGTTGGCACAACTCTCAACCCTGAACCTGAAAACCAAATTCTTCTTACTGGTCCCCTACATTTCTACAGTAATGGCTGGGAGAATTTGTTAAAATATCAACACCATTTCTCTTGGGTGATCTGTTCCTTGATTCTTATGACTGCATGCATGAATATGTATTGACATTACAAGGAGAAATAAGACACTGATCAGAATTGAACTAAAAGTGCTAATATTAACACCTGTTGACTTCTATTAAGGTTGCATTGAATTTTTCCTGCCATGATTTATGTTCCTCCTCCTTTTCTTGCTGCAGTGAAGACACCTGTTGTTGTGCAGTGGAGAGTTGATTCTGTAATGTGATTACTTCATTGCCTGAGGGTCTGTATTAAAAAAAAGCATTATTAATAGAAAGAGGATGTTTTATAAATCATCGCATCATGGGGTATCAAGATAAGAAATTTAAAAATTAACTTGAAAAATAGTTATTAGGCACCATGCTCATTAGAAGGACACAGTCAAATGCAGGAACAAACAGGATACAGTGACCAAGTGAAGGAATGAGCAGAACAAATAAATGAATGAATGACTAACTGTCAAACAAAACAAATGAGGGGCGAATGAATGAACAAACAGACAAACAATTGAACAATCAACTGAGCAAACAAATAAAAGAATGAAAGGAAACAAATGAACATTACTTTACATGTAGGCATATAGCAAACCTTTGAGATAACTGTTTTTCTAAGTTTTCATTAAGTCTTGTTTTATCTTCCAGTTGTTCCTAAAAGAGCAAATTATATTTTGGATTTTACAAGTCATTTGTTTAACTAGCCTTGTTTATGTTTCCAATGTGTATTTACATACATGTACAGGGAGCTTTTGGCATAAAGCTCTCTAAAGGCTGGTTTTCACTAGCGACGGAGTCGTAGTCAGAGTCATAATCAGAAGCGTAGAGTGATACGATCTAGTGAAAATCAAGCCAACGGAGTTGGAAGCATTACACCCATTCCGCTTATGACTCTGTCGCTTACGATCTAGTGAAAACTAGATTGTCAGAGTCGGAAGCAGAAGCGGAAGAATAAACCAATTACAATGCTCCATTCTGGGCCTTGTGATTGGTTGGTTCTTCCGTTTCTGCTTCTGACTCCGACAATCTAGTTTTCACTGGATCATAAGCAACGGAGTCGTAAATGGAATCGGAAGAAATGGAAACATTCCGATTCTTCCGACTCCGACTCCGTCAAGCTTATGACTCCACTTATGACTCTGATTTTCGATTTTCACTAGGTCATAAGTGCTCTTACGTCTCTGACTACGACTCCGACTCCGTCGCTAGTGAAAACCAGCCTTAACTTATTGTAACTGAGGTGACAGACTTGTTCCAGCTGTTTGAGCTTTCATTTGAGATCTTTATCAAAGTCCAACATCATTAGGCAGTGTGTTATATTATGATAGATGAGATGAAGTGGTGCTAAGATTTTTTAAAAAATTAAGATTTTAAATAAATAAATTAATTAATCAATTACCGTACATGTTATCAATAGGAATTTGCAGTGGCACATCCNAATCAAGCATTGTGATTGGTTTATTCCTTCGCTTCTGCTACCAATGTCAATGATGTAGTTTTCACTAGATCATAAGTGAGGGAGTCATAAGCAAACTCGGTTTTATTGTTCTGACCTTGGTTTGATTTTCACTAGATCATATCACTCTGCACCTCTGATTATAACTCCAACTGCGACTCCATTGCTGGAAAAAAACCAGCCTTTAGTTACCAGTTCTGAAGTGCGTTGAGCCAAGTTTATCTGCTCACTCTGGCTTCCAGTCTGGGCCTCTAGTGCCTTGGCTAGCTCCACTTTCAATTGTGCAAACTCTGCCATGGCTTAAGGAAAATTTGAGAAAAAGAATTTGGTCCAATCAGCAGTTTACACTACCTGAGGGTGTTCTAGAAAGAAATAGTCAAATTGAACAGCATAGAGATAAATATAATGAGGAGGTACAGCTGCCCACTGGTTAATGTGTTATATTNTTGTATCACTGCAGCAACTATTCTTCTTTAACGAATATAGTATTGTTTCTTGAATCTGTCGTAAGCAGGTAAGGAGAATTCAGAGATAAGTCACTGGTGTGGATTGTGGGTACTTTCCATTCTGAAACCAAAAATTTTGAAAATTTCAAAATGGGCAGAAATGGTATAGTCTAGATATTTCCTGGGAAAGTTTCCAGAAAATCCAGAAACTGCTGAATTTTCAGAAAGTGAACCATTCACCCTAAACCCTGAAAATTCTGGGAGGAAAGGGCTTCAAATGGAACAGAAACTCCAGTTAAGAAGTTTTCAAAATTTTGGTAAACCTTGCAATGTTGTCCTCTTTTCCGGAAATTCTAAAAAAATGTTGTTCCAATCATCACTGGAAACATACAGAAATTAAAACTGGAATCTTTCATCAAATGGAAAGCACCCTGTGAGTTAATAAAAGTGCATCATTCTTACCCCACTGGTTGGTGATGGCTCGCTGTCAACATGTGCTGTTTCAAAATGGATTTGAAGACTCTCTGGAGACTCCATTGAGATCATACATACTGGACAGATGAAACCCTAATGAACATAAGAAAACACTTGACGTTTGAAGTTGTCCTTCAGTAACATATTTGGTGATTAAACAGACAACTCTATTGAAGCCTTACACTACTGCATTTCTTTAAATTCCAAGTGTTCACCAATCTACAGCATTGCCAGGGAATGTAAAGAAACTATTCCACTGTTCTTGACATAAAAATGGGTGTTGGTGACACAAACAATTAGAATGTCATAATAAGGATAATGAGTAGTCCAAATTTATGTTGTGATGGTAACACACAATAAATAGAAAATCGCTACTGAGTAGTAGAGATAACAAAATATCTAAGCAGTCCAGTTTTAAATAGAGGGTCTCTGAGTTCAATGCATTCGGCAAAAGCTTGGAATTAAAAAGAACTACCCGTAATTGAATTGTCTATAGGAAAACAGCCATACAGGAAGTAACTTTTGAAACCTTGGTATAACTCTTGCTTGAGTTCAAAAAGAGTTGNGGGGGGGGGGGGGGGGGGGGGGGGGGGGGGGGGGGGGGGGGGGTTGCACCAGCCAAGAGACCGGGCAAGAGAGCACTCCAAACTATAGCTGGAAAACGTGATCGACGTGGAAAATAATTAAAGACATTTGCATATCAAACTGAAATTTCAAAATAATAGTATTCCTTCCGAGACTGCACACTCTAGCACGTTTTCTGGCATGATGTGACGCTAACTGAGCAACCTGTTCAGTTAGTAAGTTGATATATGAGGCGATAGTGTTTTGGCGCGCGCTTTACCAGTTTCGATCCACTAGCTACGATACAATCATGCAAGCAGTAATTAATCACTGTCTTTTGCTTCTCGTATAATATAAACTGCCTACTTACGGAGGTTTCCGTGACAGGTTGCGGCTGGTTTGTCTTTGTTAGGCTGTCCGGCTGTGGAACACGAACAACACAGTAAGCTTATAGTACGCTTGTTCACTTCTTGTCATTTACGAATGTCGTGACCTCAGCTGCTCACTTTCAAATATTATACCTGATCGTTGTCCTTTCGTTTATCACGCCAGCGCTTGAACATCTTGGATTTCCTTAATTATACGATAAATTTAAAACAAATTTCTTTACAATTTCTTTATAATTATCGTATAACCAACTCCAAAATTAATGGCCTTTTTGGAGAACGGGCCAATCACCAAAACAAAGATGGCCGCCATTCATGTGAAAAGCCGCTGACCAAGTATTTTGAAGGCGGTGTGTTTTCGGGGGGAGCCAACCCCTGAAGAGTGACACGAAACTTTCACATCTTTGTCCAGTTGTGATCGAATTTTCAACAGCAAGGGTAAAAGTTTCGTATCTTTTATCCTTTTGTGTGGCTCTTTAACTATTCCTCTACATATGGTATAAGTTGTGTCGAGTTTTGTGAGGATTTTATGGCGAAACAATCGCCATAAATGGAGGTAAGTCAGTGTTACCCGTTGAGGCAAACGTACGGGTCTTTGAACATTCGGGATTTTCAGTTTTCGCCGTGTCTGAAGTTCCCGGACGTGGATTGCATCGAAGCTCGAAATTCGAAATTTTAATATTTTTGTTTTCGCTCACCGGAAGTAAACCAAGAACACATGGAAGTAGATGGGACTAATGGCCATGGCGAGTTAAATGAAGTCTCTTTACAGCGCGAATCACCGTGCACTGTAGACCCGAAGGCGCTGGATGAAAATGGCGGAGATCTTTCCTTCACGTCCACGTTTTCGCCAGATGGTCAAGTCGCGGCTCTTGCTGAATTGTGTAAGTTTAAGTCAGAGTTTACATTTTATTTTTTTCGCAATTTAAATCTTAATTTTGACAATTTAATAGGAGAAACGAAAACATATGGAGGGAAGGTGTACGCAAATATTTTATAGACCTTCATAGCAAATTATCGACACAAACCTCGTGACATTCCTTCGGGTTTCGCGAGGATCCCGCGAGACCATGATCGCGCGATTTAACACCAGCAGGTGAGCAGGGTTAGTCTACTCGTTTTGATATTTGGCGTTTTTTCTTTTTCTTTTCTTATAAGTATTAAAGAAAATCTTACATTGTAGCAGAGTGGTACGTACATTATAAGCGTACTTTAAAAAATTATGTAAAGAAAATATTGCAGAAAATTACATGTAGCCTAAGTTGTATATTAAGCTTAAGCTTATATCAGTAAGGTATCCAATTACAAACAGGTGTCACATGGGCAGTTAAGCAAGTACCAATAACGTGACTTATTATGACTGAGAAAAATATTTTATTGTGATTGGCTGAGAAAGCAGTAGAGTATTTTTTCCGCATTTACAGCACCTAATCTAAATGCTTTGAGACAGGAGTATTCTCAAAAGTTATGCAAACCCTCAATGTCTCAGGTTTATATAACTGTCTGGAATTCTCCAAACTCTTCTTATGTTGAGATGAGGCTACATGTATGTAAACGTGGAGAAGTGCTTTATTGCTAAGTATAGAAAGGTGTACTCTTCAAATACCAGTCCTGACTTCATGCTTGAGTAATAAAAAATAATGTTATTTAACCAGGGAGCTTACATCACCCAAGGAGTTATCCAGTGAGGTCCTGCCAAAAAGAGGAAAATGTTTAATTTGAAATAGTTAAAAATATTTAAAATACAATGTGGTAATGTTCAATAAAATTATAGTATAAAAACAATTTAAAAAACTGCGCTCTTCGAAGCTTAAAAAGTAAAAGTGACCTCAAGTCACATATTGATTTGTCAAGACTGTTCCATTCTGCTCTTCCTTGATATTAAAGGCGCTGTTTTCCATTATTGCATCTAACTTGCAGTAAGTAAAAATTGGATTTGTCATGAGTATTATAAGAATGGATGTCACTGATTTGTTTTGTATCAAACTTAAAATCTATAATGCCATTTACATATTTACATAGCTCCCAAGTCTACCTACTTGAATCTACTCTATGGACATCAAGAATCAAAAATCTGTGCATTTGAATCATCTGCAATAAGAAAAAAATTTGAATGTCTAATGTTTTGATTGCTTAATCATTAACAGCTGGAGTAAAACGAAAGCACACTGATCAAGCAGACGACCAAGTCAATAAGCATCTACATCTGGACCCCGAGACTTCAGATGGGTTTGCTGACTTGGCAACACTGGTCAATATGTCCTCTGCGGCATCCCTTGCTGTTTCTCAGGTACAAAAATTAGCCTTGTCTTGTTTTCAAGCAGCTGACATAGTTACCTTCAGTCAGACAGATAATCAAGATTCCCTAGACAATTGTAGCACATGGGATAGAAACCCTGAAGAATAGGGTGGCAGCTAGGGGAACATAAGGAAGAAGAGGGAAGGGTATAACACACAAGTTCAAAAGATGTGGGACCGGGTGAAATAACGAAAAATCTCACAATATTGTGTGATATTTTGCGAAAGCAAAACTACAATGCAAGAAGTGGGAAGTTCAGANGGAAAATATATTTTGGTATTTCATGGCAGATGTATGTAATTAAGTTTCTTGGCAACTGAGGCAACTCTCCGAGGGCTATTAATGAACTTATCAAACTCTCATTTCAATGCATGTACATCAGAAAATTCTGGGTTTTTTTCTCTTGATTAATGCACTTCTTTGCAGTCAGAGAGTAAATGTGTTAGTCTTACTAATATTACTTTTTTTATATTTTGCTTTTCTACAGGCCAACAACATCCCTGATCCAAATATAATCATATTTGAAATGACCAAAGATGATCGTAAAGACTTCTACAGAACAATAGGTAAACAGATTGTCTTGTAGGATCTTTTCTAGGTTTTTTTTCCTTTTCTGTTGGTGTTAGCAACAGTTGTTGTGATGCCTAATCTTCTTTATCAATGGATGGTAATGGTTATTTTCTCACACTGCTTTCTAAAAGAAATAGAAAACGTTTAATCCGTTTTTATCGGGTTGTGGAAACACTCATGAAAGGTTGAGAGAAAATACACACCTCAGCTGCTTTTGATTTCTTGTTCATCCAAACTTCCACTTATGTGTCTCTCTGATAACCTGGTAATAAACACAGGAAGTGTCTTCTCTTTCTTAAATAAATATAGCACTCTGAATAAAACTTTGGGAATGTAATTATGGAGGCCAACTGGTTAAGATCATTTTTATTTTGATATACAATGTACTGTACATATGTAAGGGTCACAGATTGCACCAAAGAAGTATTCAAATGCACTGTCTTTTACTTTTAGCCAAGGGAATAAGGCGTCCTCTGTTTGCCATCTACCGCCGAGTGCTTCGCATGTATGACAGACGGAATTATGTGGGAAAGTACTCTGCAGAAGAAGTGGAACAGTTAAAATCCTTGAAAGAGAAACATGGAAATGACTGGGCCACAATTGGTGCTGCTATGGGGAGGAGTGCTTCATCTGTGAAGGACAGATTCAGACTTATGCGGGATCACTGCCATTCAGGTTGGAATCATGATAGATACATGTAGATGCACAATGTAGATCTACAAGTGCATAGCATTACTTATTATTGTGATCATGTTGCATCAGAGGAACCCAAGAATTCGCTCTGGGAAATGATTCTTCGGTTCCTTTGATGCACCATGATCTGATTGATCTTAGATTCTGTTGTAGTAAAAGAAACACATAATCTGTTTTTTGATTTCAGAAACCAATCTTTGATTTTCCCAAAGAATTGCACCCTATGTTCGTAAACAAAACTCTTTAAAGTCAACACCACACTAAGATGGACAGTTAGACTTGATCCTGAGGATAAATTCTGCAGAGAGACACTTTATTTATACAAGACACATCTCTGTCTATAAATTTTCTGAAGGGCCATGATCGAGGGTACATGTAGTAAGGCTTGAACTTAATTTCACAAAGTACAGACTTGATGTTACCTAAGACTGCACACACAATATATAAAATTCCCCAGCAGCTTTTTAGAAACATAAACTCTTTTACCTTGAAGGCAAGTGGACTGCAGAGGAGGAGCAGAGACTGTCCGGTGCAGTACATGAGCTTAGCAGTGCAGCTTCTGGGGATTTCATCACAGCAGGAATATCCTGGGCAGCTGTGGCCCAGAGGGTCGGCACACGATCAGAGAAACAGTGCCGTTCAAAATGGTGAGATCAGTCTGCACTTAAGCCTGTTGTATGAGGAATAATCAGACATAATTTCGTGAGGTTATAGTTGGTTTATTTTGTGTTGAATGTGTTACACATGGCAGGTTGAATTATTTAAATTGGAAGGAAAAAGGAGGGCAGGAATGGACAAAGCAGGATGAAATTCAGCTTATTACCAGGTAATAGTTACATTTTGTAGGTACAATGTTCCAGTAAATGTACACCACTTACAGTATTGCCTTTGAAAGAGGTTAAGTTTCACTTTTATTCAGACACATGGCAACATGTGGATAAGTGTGAAG